AATATAATATAATATAATATAATATAATATAATATAATATATTTTTTTATTTCTTATTTTTTTCTTATATTTATTTTTATATTAAATTGAGGTTTTATAAAAATTTCCAGTTACCAGAAATTTGTTTAAATTCAAATTTATTCGAAAATACGACATAAAATGAAAAATTCCCATAAAAAAAGTTATTATACGAAGCTTTTGTTGGATACTTATTGGCCTGACGGAAAAAATCTAAAATATAAAATTTCTATAAGAATCAGCTAACCGTAAAACTACGAGTTAATTCTTTTGAATAGGTCAACTGTGGAATAATAAATTCATCGGTTGCACAGCTGCAAATGTCCTTCGTTATGAATATTAATTAATGTCAGGTCAAGGAATCAATGCAGAAAAAGAATTTGAGCTATATATTGAAGCTTTACTAGTAAATGAATTCACAATCATTCTAGGCGTGGATAAAAAATTATTTCGAAGACAATCTAGAGACAATATAGAGATTTCATGATTTCATTATTTCAAAATTTTGTTTAAATGCTTACAAATGCCTCTTACTTAGTGATTTTTTTGAATAAAAACTATTTCGAAGTTTCTGATATCACCAAATAAAAACAGCATTTCAAGTTTACGAAGTAATTATTTATCCTCTAGCAGAATAAACAAAATAGAGGAAGATTAATAGACCCATAAGAGTCGATAACTTTGTGCTCCCCGCCTTGACCATCGAGAATAAAACAACTGTGCACGAGCATAACATATACATCTGATGGGCAATCCCAAACATGATATATAATATCGCCAACTCGAGCATACCGCAGGATAGGGCCATTTGCAGAATCTCGATGCAGCGTATATGAACATTGTGGCATGACATGACCAGAGTCCAAAATCGAAGTCGTTAGTTCACTAAAATTTTTAGATCAGAATACTAAAATAAAAATAAGGTAGAATTACATGAAAGACGAAACTGAGTTATCTCAGATGAAATAAGGAGCGATAAATTCGTTCAAAGCAATAAATTATGAACCTACTTCTTTCTAAGGCCATATAATCCTTTTAGAAATTCACTAATATAAACATAAACAGTATGTTTTTAGAATTGTAGATGATAAAATTCTTTGATTCATTCAAAATAATTTGCATAACCTTGGGAATATTTTAGCATAATGCTAAAAATAAGTTAATATAAAACTAAAATCAAAATTGGAGCATACTGGTGGAGTTCTTTCCACTATGGTCAAGCATAATGAGTCCTTTGCAAAAAACTTTTCGTTGAAATTTTCATAGAAAATGAAATCTAATGCTGTGGAAACATTTCTATTCCTCTTTTAGTGACTCTCATTCTCATGAAGAATCTCATCCTGTCCTGGTCATCAGTAGAGAGAGCCAAACCAAAAGTGGAAAAAAAAGAAAAAAAAACTAAATTAAGCTTGAATAATTTCAATCAGCTTCCCTTTTTTTCCTTTCCAAATTTTCATTTTCTTTTTCCCACTGAATAGACTTATGGCAGAGATAATAGGATGAGCGCTAACTAAATTGGACTCAGTCGACTGTGCTGGCCAGATACTCACGTGAAGAAGGATGTTGGAACATCGCTTTAAATATCGACAACACTCCGCCACATATTTCATCGATTTTGCATCTTCGATTCAATTCGATAGAGCAGCGCTTTGGTGGGTGATGAAATTCTGGAACAGTGTTCCAGAAAAGAATCGATTTATAAAGGCATTTTATCTACGTACGTCGGCACAGGTTTGTGTACAGGAGGAACTGACAGACTCCTTCGAAATAAGAACTGGATATCGAAAAAAAAATGAGAAGAAAAGTGTAGTAAATATTTGAAGACTTAGACAATGATATAATTGGAAAGATTTTGATGGTAATGGTGGACCAATGTATTTAGAGGATGGAAAAAGGAATTGCTTCTATTACTGTCAGAGATAGAATTGGATTAAACAGCTTAGAAATATCTTACCCTTGTAGCCAGAGCAGATTAATGGTAAGAATTGTAAGAAATTTTATCAGAGCCATTTGTTACCGATTCGTGTTTGCTAATTTTTTGCAGCATATTTATAAGCCTGGTTTTCAACAACATAGTGGTTCATTTATAAAGATAGGTACAATGTTACGTGTATAAAAAGAAACATATCTAAAAATGTATTGAACTAAAAAGGAAATTCATATTAGGTTAGAAGAAGTACCTGACATCAAGTTCGGCATCAACGATTTTATTCGCTTCCATATAAAAACAACGAATATTGTACGCTCGGTCCACTTTTGTTATAAATAACTGAATGAGAAGCAACAACATGTAAAGATTAAGATTTAGACGTTAAGACTTCATTATTTATTTATTTATAACCAATTATGAATGCTTCAACACTTGTCATTAAAAAGCCGGTCAACGACCGGCTATCCTAAACTATCCTAACTAAAAAGGTAAGCACTAGACGCTTTTTTACTTATTGTGCGTCAGAATTTCCATTAGAAAAAAAATTAAGTTCAAAAAAATTAAGAAAATTGGAGATTTATTTTGGCAAAGGCGATATAGTTGCTAAAAATATTACAGAAAGCAGACTGGGAACAAGCTATTAAAGATAGAATGAGATAGAGATTACCTGGTTTGATCAAGACGAGCTTGATTCTGAAGCATAATAAGTAAAGTATAAAGCATATTAAAGTGCTGAGAGCCTACTTACGATTCTATTTACAAGCTCTGAAGAAATGGCATAACCCTAATAGCCAATGGAGGCAGCCAAACTAGAAATGCCGTTTTACAGAGAGAAAATGAAGAAAAAAATTCACTCAAATAATAAAAAATCGTAAAAAAACTAAAAAACTAACTGGATGAAGCTGGACAATAACTGTCATTGAATAGGCCATTCCTCGTGGATTTATCTAAATTGAATTAAATAAATCTCCGAACTTTGAAATTTCTGAAATCCAATCCCAAGCACTCGAATATTTTCATTAAAAAACGTATTTAGTCAATTTTTGGCTTGAATATGATTTCATTTTAATATAGGTGCTGATGAATTCAAACAACACAAAAATTAAATAAATTTTTAAACCATCCATTCAATGCATATATAATTTTGAATGGTCTAAAAGATTTAGTGGAAATATTAATGAGTACTTATCCTAATGGTTCGCACATAATTGCTCGATTATCATTGCTAAAAAAGAAGAAACAAGGAAAAAACTATATGACCTCACAACTCCTTTGCCGCTTAAATGTTTCCTTTGGTTTCGAGGCCTACTCGAATTAACTTAAGAAATCCCCTTCGCAATTTCAAATAAATTCTTCCTTTTTCTTATTAATAGTTTTTTGTTGACAAGAGTTTTACCGATTTTTTAGATGAACAATCTCAACAGAATAATTAAGATTAAAATAACTGTTTAATGATAATATTATCGTACTGTTAGAGAGTATTTTATTCCCTGAATGACTCTCGCGTTATCGCTGAAATGGTTCCAACATAATAGTTAGTGAAATCAACCAAATTGAAGATGGCGATTGAGAGGAATATTTCCTTACTACATCGGATGCCTAACGAATTACGAGATTTAGTAAAGTAGAAATTTTTGAGCCAATGATATACCTGTCGTTTTTTATTGATGTTACACTGCTCTAGAGTGAAGTTGGCTGTATCGGTATTATTAAATATGCACCCCTCCTTTCGAAAATAACCCTTAGCGAATATATATGATGGCTTTTGTCTTGAAGTTTTAACTTTTATCATTATTGCGCTATGACCACAATCTATTTCTGGCTCCTCTGAAATCTTATCATGAATAATTATCGTCATGAACTTTTCAATTTGAAGTTCCTAAAGCTTATTTTTTGCAAGATATCAGAATGGTTTGTTAACGCAAATCTCCTGCTTTTGGCGAGATTAAAATCCTATATGATGCTGATAATCCACTTGTACTTCATTCGTCAATCATTCACTATCGCTATCATTGGTAAAAATTTCTCACACTAATAGTTAACTGAGCGAGCTTTACCAAAAATATGAGCTAATTCTTTATTCAAAAATACTGAGTAAAATGATAAGTGAAAAGAATTAGAGATCCAGTTCCAAGATCCAATATTTTGAACCATTGAATGATATTGAATGATATTCTTGTAATAAAATTCATAAAATTCGTAAAAATTATAAATATAAATTTGAAAAGGAAAAATAAATGAAATGAAATGGGAAACCATCAATTCGATTACTGAAGGACATCGATTGCATTGAGGATGTCGATTCGATGAGGAATATGAAAAATATGAATGTGGTTCTAAACAAAGGCATTCTCTGGTATCCTGAAATTGTATTAATAAGTTTTTTACCTTTTTTATTAAAAAAGCAAATGCGATATAAATCCTAAGTTTCAAGGACTAAGATTCGCTTGGAATTCATTGTTTCTCATTAAAAATATATCGTAATTAATTCAATAATTTAAAATTACTGCAGATACGAATGGATTTTAGAAAACCTTTTTCCTTCGAGCATAACAAAAAATCATGAAAATTTATTTTCGAGCTTTAAATCTTTTTTTAAAAATGTGATCAAACCATACAATACAGATAAATATTATGGTGAAAAATGAGACAATAAATATGTGGTAAGGTGTCCTTCAAAATCCTTCTTTATGGTCGCTCTTCGCATAAGATATGAGTAATTGAATTATTGAGGCTAGTCGACAATACTATTGTCGAACTCTAATTATATTTCTATTAGATATAAATATTATTTGATTCTTTCTCCTCTGGACTAAAATGAATTATGGACCTTTTTTGTCGTTCGTGCTATTAGAAAAATATTTCATATTGTAAAAAGAAACATGCAAGCAAACAAAATGTTTTTAAATATAATAGCTTCTTTTATATGAAATGAATTTCAGCCAAATATAGTCGATAATTTAAAAATATCTGCTCACAGAAAGCTAATGAAGCTATATTAAAATTTTTGAATTATACCGTTAAGACCAAGTGATTTTAGTTTTCTCTATAATGCTGTGAATATTGATTTTGGGCAACTAAATTATGTTAAATTATAATTCTTATTAAAATTATAACTTTTTTGGTACAATTATTGATAATGAAAAAAAGATATTCATTATTGGACCTTGAAAAAAAGCTGTTCAACACCATTGATTTCGCATATTTTATGCAATAAAATTTACCAAAAAAGATTCATTCACTCATTAACAATTACTGAAATTGATGTTTACTGGTATTCAAAATCAGATGTTCCAAGCAGACTAACAATTTTTTTAGTTGCAGAAGTTTTTTTGTATCTCTATACATATGCTCTTTAATCAAGTATATAATAATACTGTAATCATAAAAAATCATATTGTAAAAAGAAATATGCAAGCAAACAAAATGTTTTTAAAATGCTTAAAATGCTTAATAAAAAAAATGGTTAGCACTCATCATTTCTGGTTGTTAGTTCCACTAGCTGTTAGAAATTTTTGCCAGGCAGTTGCCATAGAAATATAGGTAGATCTTCAGGGCTTAACTCCTGTTGGAGGATGAAGTAGAATCCTTGCCTTTTCAACTCGATGATCTGGGGTACTATTGCCTATACACTCAACTCTCAATCAACTCAATCTTGTGCCATTTAAATTAAATACATAGAACAGAAACATGCACTAACTGAAGGAAGACGGAATAATTGATAATCAGAACCATCCGAACCATCCGAACATGAAACTCTTATTAGAATGAATTTAAAAAAAAAATAAAAAAGAAAAGGAATTGGCTCTAATGTTTTTTGTTTATGCAATAATAAATTTAAGTACTCAATAAATTTGGATAAATTTGCAGATAAATTTAGAATGTGATTTATATCTAAGGGTTCAAATTTGCTATCTATGAACAAGTTTCACTCAAATTGTCGGAATCGAGCTTATGATGCCACAGCTTTGTTGAAATAGAATGCTACTTCTTTTTTTCGCTTTTCACTTTTATTCTTGACTGTATTTAAAAAGAAAGTCAAAAATGATGTCAAAAAAAAACCGAATCAGGCCCAGATCAGTAGTCTTAGCTGGAATAGTGATTTTGTAAATTTAAAATATAAAATAAAATAGTGAAAGAACTTTAATTTCGAAATTTTGATAATTTGCACAAGTTCGAGGAAACAAAATATATCCAAAAATATCCAAAAATAGCTACAAACATGAATGTTCTTCACTCTAAATCTTTTTAAAAATGGGACAATTCAGTGAAAAATGGTAATAGCATTGGTTTTTTCCACAAAATGGTCTATACAGATAGAAGACGAAAAGGATTTTCATAATTGTTAGCTATGAAGTGGGTTTTTTTAAGGAAAATTTGAATTAAGATTTAGAATTGCATATGAGCTTGTAAATTTTTAATTAATCAAGTGAAAAAACTAGAAAAAGCGTTACCAGTTGCTCGTTGGGCTCGAGGTTTTTGCTTACTTAGCGATATTACCACAGGTGAATAGACAACACAACTTGGATTTTTTAAAAACAGTTAGTTTTATTCTTGCCTGGGTCAGGAGTTAAGCCTTTGCTTTCAACACGATAATCTGAATCAACTGCTTATCTTACTCCTTATTTTACTAGTAATAAAAAAGTATTCTAATTCAAAAATAATTGCAGTTATAACCAATTAGTTATCTCTAATAGTAATTCAATAGCCAGTTATACTAAATCATAAAAACATTTATTCGCTTCTTAGGTGGTTCTAATTAAATCATTCATGCCTACCATTTATGCAATTCTTATTTCAGAATGGAAAAAAAATGTTTAATCCAAAAAAAGAAAAAAACTATTCACTACTTAATATTACATATGGCTAAACGCCCATTAGCGTTAGCGCTCATGATTTGTCACTATAAATAATTTGAAACAAAGTTCCATGATTCTTCAGGTGATTTTTTATAAAAATGGTGATGATTTTTTATAAAAATGAAAGAATGATATTGATGATGGCGAATTTTAACGAACTATTGTAATTATGGTACTAAATTCGAAATTCATATTCATTGATTTTCAAATGCTGCTCCTTAATTTAGAAGCAGGGTAGAGGAATGGATAATAACTGCTTCTAAAATTCAAATATATTAAATAATCCAAGTGGAGCTGGCGATTATACTTCTACCGCCAAGTGAATCTCTTGCAAAATTTCTAAGCAGCGGAACAATTCTAAGCAGAAATGATGAATGCTAATCGTTTAAGCTTGTATTTTCTTTAAGAGAAATTTTCATTATGCATATGTATGGTTCAAAGCGTCGGTGGCTCAGTGATGATTGGATTCGAATTCGCTAATTTATCACTCTTTGACAGGCGGCAGTGCCGTGTAATGGAAAAAAAAGAGCAAAATAGAATGGCCCAGTCAAATCTAAGAAATCTATAAAAATCTTAAATTAATATGGGAAGATGATGGTCAAATAGTATACTAGCATGCTAAGATCAAGCCGCCATAGGTTTGGTCGTTGTTTCTTTACGAATATAACAAATATTCGTTTCGTTTATCCAAAGTGATTCTCTGACAAAAGTCTCCTACTAGTTGGTGAACTAATCCAACAGTGGAGAAAAAATTAATAAAAACTTCAAGTTTATATGATGAATGAATTCATGTTTTTAAGAACTTTATTTGCTTTTTTTAATATAATAAGTACTTTTTCAACAAAAAATAAATAAATAAAATTTTGAAAACACCGGAGACAAGTAGGAAACTTACGCTAATATAATTATTATTGAAGGAATAGAAATATTTGATGAGGCAGGCGCTGGTGGAATTCGAATTTCGCTAACGCCCACATATAAGGAGGACTTTTCGATACCAATCATAACGATTTTTTCGAATTTATAAGTGGTTCATCTCATTCTTATGCATTTCTTATTTTGTCAGATAAATTGGAAACATTAATGGACCATTGTAAATTACAAATTAATATTGATCAAAAGGTCATATGCCAGTATAACAAGGTCAGTTATTGTGAGTAAATGCATGCTTCAGTTTGGTCACTAGCGTTTTTTATTGTTTCAAATGCCGAAATATTGTTATTCACCAAGCATTATAAAGAAAAGAGCAAACTACTGAGTGCTTAATGAATTCTCTTCTAATTCATGATAATCTTTATCGAAAAAAAATTGAATATACAAGGCGAGACAATCCTTTTTTTCGTAGAAATTTTTCTTATTTTACAAATTGATCATTGTAGTCATCAGTGACACGGAATTTTTAAAAGAATTATTTATTTTTAAAAGAACAAATAAATATCTGTGATGAATTTGAAGGTAAGAAATTACCCACTCGACCATTCTGCGGATATATGTGTGGTAGCTGAAGAAGGTTGGTGCGGATAATTTAAATTTTCAATTTTCAAAAATCGACAAATATTAAGATAATAAGGGGAAAAAACGATAATATTTTGAATTAGAACGAAAATTTGCTTTTAACTAAAGATCATCCTTATTCAGTTTTTTTTAAAGAGTTCTCACCATTACTGCTTAAACTCGCTCCACTGGCTTATCACATTGAGCAATATGCCATGGAGTCGTCCCTTGGCGATAGAAATACAGGTGAGTCGCCAGCATCATCCGAATTTTTATACTGGTTTTCTCCTGTGGGGAATCGAACCTCAGCATCGGCGCTCCCAATCGAGCAACAACTCATTGAGCCATTCTATCCCCATCCTTATTTAGAAATGTTAATAAATTACGAACCAACTATCAAAGGAAAAATGGTTTTCGGAACGATTCTTTTTTTATTTTCAGTAAATAAAAATTAAGTATATATTTTGAGTACACCAAAAATATTTTAAATTTAGGGAAATTTTAA